TAAATATAATATATTTAATATAATATATATTAAATATAATATAATATATCTATAATATATATATAATATATATTTGAGAAGAGAGAGAGGAATAAACAGATAATGTTTATTTGATGGGATGCTTTTGAAATGCTTTGCAAGTAAACATATTTATAGCAAGAGAAATGACTAGAATGCTAAAGTGTAGGGAATTAGTGCTCCATGAAGTGCTCCACGTTCTGCAACCACACGTCCACACACCTCACATATTTGCTTTCTAAATTCTAACAAACTAATTAGACATTGGTTTAATAATTATAATAATAATATTATTATAACATTGCCTCCTTTAAACCAAGTTGGACGTATTGGTCATTCCAATTTCCTTCTTCAATTTGAGAAATGTCTCTGTCTTTAGCGGCTTCGTAGAGATATCTGCAACTTGACATTCACTTGAACAATACTCAATGTTGATTTGCTTTTCAGCAACCAACTCTCTGATTTTGTGATACTTGATATCAATGTGTTTGCTACGACCATGAAAGACTGGATTTTTGGACAACGAAATTGCTGACTTGTTGTCACAAAAAATAGTCGTAAGTGCTTCCTGCTCGTGTTGTAAGAACTCCAAAATTCTCTTCAGCCAAACTGCTTGAGTAGCACAGTTTGCTGCTGCAATATATTCTGCTTCTGCGGTTGAAAGCGCTACAATCTGCTGCTTCTTTGAAGACCAAGAAAATATAGCTGAACCAAGATAGAAGGCATATCCTGATGTGCTTTTTCTGGTCTCAACATCTCCAGCCCAATCACTGTCTGTGTACCCAACAAGTTCCACAGTTTCATTAGTAGAGTAAAAAATTCCATCATTACTTGTACCTTTGACATATCTCAGAATTCGCTTTGCTGCAGCCCAATGTGATTCTTTTGGTTCCTCCATGAATCTGCTAAGAATTCCAACTCCAAAAGAAATATCTGGCCTTGTTGCCACCAGATACCTCAAACTCCCAATTAAGCTTTTATAAGATGTAACATTCACATTCTTACCACACTCATCTTTGGACACCTTTAACTTTTCAGCTACCAGAGTTGAAGCTGGTTTGGAGTTTTCCATTTTGAACTTTTTCAAAATATCAACAGCATACTTCTTTTGTGAAATAAAGATTCCACCATCCATCTGAATAACCTCAAGGCCAAGAAAGTAAGACATAAGGCCCATATCGGTCATTTCAAATCTCTTAATGAGTGCCTCCCTGAATTCTGAGATTAGCTTCGAGTTGTTTCCAGTAAAAACCAGATCATCAACATACAAACAGATTAGAACAATATCACCAGAATCCGTGCATTTGACATACAAAGTGTGTTCATGAAGACATCTCATAAAACCACTTTCAACAAAATATGAGTCAATGCAACCATACCACGCCCTAGGCGCTTGCTTTAAGCCATACAAGGCTTTTCTCAACCTGTACACTTTATTTTCCTCCCCTTTCTTCAGAAATCCTGCAGGTTGCTCAACATATATTTCTTCATCAAGAAAACCATTCAGAAAAGCAGACTTGACATCCATTTGATGCAATTTCCAATCATTTTGAGCAGCAAGAGAAATAACCATTCGAACTGTATCAAGTCTACTTACAGGAGCAAAAACCTCAAAATAATCAATACCTGGTTTCTGCTTGTAACCCTTTGCTACCAACCGTGCCTTAAAACGGTCAATTTCTCCATTTGATTTGTACTTCGTTCTGTAAACCCACTTTACTCCAATCGGCTTCTTTCCAGGAGGTAAATCTGTTAACTCCCAGGTACCATTCTTTTCAATGGCACGTATCTCCTCATCCATCGCCTTAAGCCAATGAGTTTCTGTAGCAGCCTCCTCAAAAGTTAAAGGATCACAATCTGCAAAGAGAGAAAATTGAACAATCTCTTCATCAGACAGGTCATTATCATGACCCAAAACATAATCCTGCAAGCGAGCTGGTAAGTGGCGCTCGCGCTGAGATCGTCGAACTGACGACTCTGGCTGTGAAGGAGACTGAACATTATCTGGAATCAGTTGCTCTTCAACAATATTTTCACCAGCAGGAATAACAACTGAACTTTCATCTTTAGCTAACCAATCCCAGACACCATATTCATCAAAAGTGACATCACGACTTATAACAACCTTTTTAGTTTCAGGATTGTAGAGTTTATAAGCCTTTGAAGCGTCACTATAACCAATGAATATGCACTTCTCACCTTTATCATCCAACTTCTTTCTCAACGGATCTGGCACATGTGCATATGCCAAACATCCAAAAACCTTGAGATATTTGATAGAGGGTTTTCTCCCACTCCAAGCTTCTTCGGGTGTCTTATCACGGACACTTTTAGTTGGACACCTATTCAACACATAGACAGCACAAGCAACAGCTTCTGCCCAAAAAGGCTTAGGCAGATCCTTAGATTTCGACATGCACCTCACCATATCCATGATTGACCTATTCTTCCTCTCAGCCACTCCGTTTTGTTGTGGAGTGTATCTAGCTGTCATTTGGTGCTGAATACCCTTTTCTTTCATAAAATCATCACAGGCAATATATTCTGTACCTCTATCAGTTCTCAAGATTTTAACTTCATAACCACTTTGCTTTTCAACAAAAGTCTTAAATTGTTTGAAAACATCACATGCTTCAGACTTTTGCTTCAGAAAGTAAACCCATGTTTTTCTACTGAAATCATCAATGAAAGTAATAAAGTACTTACAACCTCCATGTGAGGGAACCTCCAACGAACATAGGACTGAGTGAATAATCTCCAACTGTTTTGTAGCTCTCCTTGACTTGCCCACGGGAAATGGATCTCTATGCTTCTTCCCAATCACACAAATCTCACAGATACGATTAGGGACATTCACAACAGGTAAATCAGAAACAAGTTCCTTTCTTGCAAGATAGTTTAATCCAGAGAAATGAAAATGCCCAAACCACATATGCCATAACCAATTATCATCGCAAACTTCAGAATTAAAGCAAGCAAGGAGAGTATGCTTAATTTTCAAAGGAAATAGTCGATTTTGGGACATATTTACCTTTGCAATCAAAACTCCTTTAGCATCTGCAATGGTACAACACCCCTGAGCAATAACTATCTTATATCCTTTTTCTGACAATTGTCCCATACTCAACAAATTTTGGTGTAGTTCAGGAACATAGAACACATCGGATATAAAATTGCGAGTACCATCCTTCAACTGAATAGAGATTTTACCTTTTCCCAAAATTGGCACCTTTGACTTATTGCCAAATGTCACTTCAGACCGGACTGATTCATCCAATTCAGAAAACAATTCTTTCTTCCCACACATATGGTTACTACACCCAGTATCCAAGAACCATATGTTCTTATCTGCAGAAAAACTATTGCTGGCTAAAAGTAAAGTTTCAGAACTCTCACCAGACTTTTCAGCAGTGTTTTCAGCAATGTTTGCTTGATTTCCACGATTGTTGTCCTCATTATACCAACAATCTGCAATCTTGTGCCCATACTTGCCACAATTGTAGCAATGAAATGGAAATTTACCTTGTTTGGTATTACCTCCACCTCTTCCTTGGTTGGAGTTACCACGTCCTCCTCCTTGGTTGAAGTTACCACGACCTCTTCCACTAGAACCTCCTCTTCCTCTTCCACGACCTCTACCAGATCCTCCACCTCTTTGATTAGTGCCAGTCACATTAAGGGTGACTTGGCTCTTCAAAGCTTCTTCTGCTAGTGGTTCCGATTTTGACGCAATCCTGTCAATATGACTTTCTACCATACCTTTCAGCTCTGCAATTGATAAGAGCTCGGTTTTGTGTGACTCTGTTATTGAAGCCACCACATGGTCATACTTCATCGGCATAGTTCGAAGAACTTTTTCAACCACTGCACCATCTTCAATCGTATCTCCATATAGCCTCATCTTATTCACCATATCAATAAGATGAGTGAAATACGCATCTACTGTTTCTGTAGAGGTCATCTCACAATTATCGTACAACCTTCTCAACGACTGCAACTTAGACTTCTGTGCCCGATCAACTCCTTTGTGTTACACCTTTAAGATGTCCCAAGCTTGTTTTGCTGTTTGAGCACGAGCTAATTGCCCAAAAATGGAATAATGAACACCTTGGTGAATCTGACCCAAGGCCAATTTATCTCGCCATATAGCGCCTGCTTCAGCTCCTTCTTGTAGACCGGGATCAACAAAGCTCCAAAGATTTTGAGCTTGCAAATGTGTGGACATCATAATTTGCCAATAATTGTAATCGAGTTTCCCGTCCAATTTGGGACCCGACCATACAATATTGAAATTTGTAGCCATATTTCACTACGAACAATATCTCGGGATTGAAAGGTTGACTGGCTCTGATACCAAATGTTAGATATATTAAATATAATATATTTAATATAATATATATTAAATATAATATAATATATCTATAATATATATATATATATATATAATATATATTTGAGAAGAGAGAGAGGAATAAACAGATAATGTTTATTTGATGGGATGCTTTTGAAATGCTTTGCAAGTAAACATATTTATAGCAAGAGAAATGACTAGAATGCTAAAGTGTAGGGAATTAGTGCTCCATGAAGTGCTCCACGTTCTGCAACCACACGTCCACACACCTCACATATTTGCTTTCTAAATTCTAACAAACTAATTAGACATTGGTTTGATAATTATAATAATAATATTATTATAACATAATATAAATGTATTTTTTTTAGACTATTATTTTGATAGTGGTGATCCAGAGTATGTTTGCGAGCATTGTAATGCATTTTTTTGGTACAATGAACGGTCAAGCAATTCAAGGTCATGTGACAGGCCTAAATACTCCGCATGTTGTGTAAATGGTAAGATAAAGTTGCCATTCATGACAAAGCCTCCTCAAAGGTTGTATGATTTATTCTTTACATCAAGTGATAAAAACAAATGTTTTTTGAAGAATATAAGGTCCTATAACAACATGTTTTGCTTCACGTCAATGGGTGGAAAAATTGATAGAACTATTAACAACGGAACATCGCCGCCTATATTCCGTATAAATGGTCAAAATTTCCATCGCATTGGAAGTTTATTGCCTTCACTTGGCACTCAACCTAAATTTGCACAATTATACATTCACGATACAGAGAATGAGATAGAAAATCGCTTCAACTCTTTCAGGTATAATATTCTGTGTTAGTAAACTCTTGTGGGCCTCTCATTGGTTAATACTTAAAATCTTATATTATATATTCTTATTTTTTTAGGGCGGAAAACAATGGTTTTACATTGCATCTTGATGTAGTTCATGACATTAAGCAAGACCTAGATGAGCACAATGTTTTGGTTAAGTCATTCCGAATGGCCAAGTCATTTATGGAATCTAATCCTAAAAGTGAAATTAGAATGAGATTAATAGGGAAGAGGTCTAAAGATGCCAGAACGTATGCGCTACCAACTACTTCCGAGGTTGCTGCTCTCATTGTTGGAGATTTATACCCTTGCATGGGTGAACGTGATATTGTGGTCGAGTCTAAATCTGGAATGCTTAAACGAATAAGTGAATTAAACCCAGCGTATCTACCATTGCAATACCCAATTTTATTTCCATATGGAGAGGATGGTTTTAGGGAAGATATACATTTTGCAACACATGGTACTAAACAAAATTTTGCAAGAAAGAGTGTTTCACAAAGAGAGTACTTCGCGTTCCGTACTCACGAAAGATCAAATGAGATCTCAACTATAATGTACGCTAAAAGGTTATTCCAACAATTCTTGGTTGATGCGTATACTATGGTTGAATCTTCGAGGTTACTATATATTAGGTCAAATCAAAAAGCTTTGAGGTGTGAGGCGTACAATGGTCTCTCTGATGCGTTGACACGAGGTGAAGTTCAACCTAGCTCTCAAGGTAAAAGAATAATATTACCTTCAAGTTTCACGGGAGGAGCAAGATACATGATACAAAACTACCAAGACGCCATGGCAATTTGCAGATTTATAGGTTATCCAAATCTGTTTATTACTTTTACATGTAATCCTAAATGGCCGGAGATTCAACGCTTTTTGGAGAAAAGAAATTTGAAAGCTGAAGATCGACCGGACATTGTTTGCCGAGTTTTCAAGATGAAGCTAGACTGCTTAATAAAAGAAATAAAAAATGGGAAACTGTTTGGTGCGATAAGGACAGGTGCGCTCCGCATTTCCTTATAACTGCCGTTTTTCATAAAATAGTTAATAATATGAATCTTAGAACTCACATCATCTAATTGTTTTTGCAACAGTAATATACACAATTGAGTTTCAGAAACGGGGTCTTCCACATGCTCAAATATTACTGTTCCTACAAGGGACGAGCTGCTTTGCCAATCCTGCTTTTATGGACACGATCATTTCTGCCGAGATCCCAGACAAGCTGATGGTCATTGAGTATTACAAAGCTGTCGAAGAATTCATGATGCACGGCCCGTGTGGTGTTGCCAGGAGCAATTCACCGTGCATGGTAAATGGCAAGTGCTCGAAGCATTTTCCAAAAAGATATATTGATGCATCTCATTTTGACCAGGATGGTTACCCGTTGTATCGAAGAAGGGATGATAAGAGGACAATAAAAAAAAATGGAATAGAGTTGGACAATAGGTATGTTGTACCACATAATCGGTACTTGCTCTTGAAATACAAAGCCCACATTAATGTGGAGTGGTGTAACCAATCTAGGTCAATCAAGTACCTATTCAAGTATGTCAACAAGGGTAACGACCGTGTAACGGCTGAGTTTTACAAGACTACGATGGATGAAGCTGGTAATGAGATGGTGGATGAAATAAACATGTACTATGACTGCAGATACATCTCTGCATGCGAGGCAGCTTGGAGGTTGTTTAGTTTTGAAGTCCAGTACAGAACTCCACCGGTTGAGCGACTAAGCTTTCACTTGCCTGACTGCCAATCAGTTGTTTTCCAAGACGATGATACGATTGATCATGTCCTCAATAGAGAGACCGTTGGGCAAAGTATGTTTAATGCATGGTTTGTAGCCAACCAGAAGTTTAAAGAAGCGAGCTTATTAACTTACATTGAGATGCCTACCAAATTTGTGTGGAAAAAGGACATCCGTGAATGGCATCCAAGAAAAAAGGGTTTCTCAATTGGTCGAATATTCTATGTACCACCAGCTTCAGGAGAAATTTATTATTTAAGGTGTCTATTGAACATAGTCCGTGGTCCTAAAGGTTTCCAAGATATTAGGACAGTTAATGGTGTTGAGTACTTGACCTTTAGAGATGCATGTTATGCTCATGGATTGTTAGACCGGATAAAGAATACATTGATGCTATAAATGAAGCAAGCTGCTGGTCAACTGCACATTCATTAAGGAAGCTATTTGTTGTCTTACTAACATCCTCATCAATTATTAGGCCCGAAAATGTTTGGAATCAAGTGTGGCAACATTTGTCTGAAGATGCTCAACACTATCAAAGAAGAATATTAAAACAACCAGGTAATGTACATTTTTTTATGATACAATAATCTTTCATCAAATTTCTTAGGTTATATTTATAACTATCTGGCTGTTGGCATCGTAACAGATTTGGTCTTAACAGAGGAAGAGAAAAAGAACTTTGCATTGTTGGAATTGGAAAACCTTTTGGGGCAACAAAATAAGTCTTTAAAAGACTATCCTCCGATGCCAATACCAAGTACAGATAATTCAAGGTTGTTTCAGAATCGGTTGGTTTTTGAAGAGTTATGTTACAATCACGAGCAGTTGAAAGAATATGCTGAAGTGCTGTGTGCCAAACTAACTGAAGAACAGAGTCTCATCTATGATACGGTTATACAAGACATTGCAGACGGTAAAGGTGGCTTATTTTTTGTTTATGGTTATGGTGGAACAGGAAAGACTTTCTTGTGGAGAGCGTTGTCAGTTGCAATCCGATACAAAGGTCAGATCATTTTAAATGTGGCATCAAGTGGCATAGCTTCTTTGTTGTTACCAGGTGGCCGAACTGCTCACTCAAGATTTGCAATACCTATTGCAATAAACGAAGACTCGACCTGTAACATTAAGCAAGGTAGCGACATGGCTGAATTGTTGATAAAGACGAGTTTGATAATATGGGATGAAGCTCCCATGATGCACAAACATTGCTTTGAAGCCTTAGATCGAACTATGCGGGATTTGTTGCGTTTTGTAGACCCGTGTGGTGAAATGAAGACATTTGGTGGTAAAACAGTTGTTTTGGGTGGAGATTTCCGGCAAATTCTCCCAGTAGTTCCAAAAGGTACACGGCAAGATATTGTTTCTTCAGCCATAAATTCATCATATCTCTATGGGATAGTTGCAAAGTTTTAAGGTTGACTAAAAACCTCAGACTAAGTTCGGTACCCAACGGTGGAAACCGGCAGGGATTACAAGAATTTGCCGATTGGATTGCTAATGTCGGTGATGGAAAGCTGGGTGGGCGGAATGATGGTTTCGCAGAGGTTGTAATTCCAAAACACATGTTACTGTCATCCGGAGGGGAAGATATTAAAACAATTGTGCATAGTACATTTCCTATGTTTGCAAATGGAAACACCGACCCCGAGCATCTGCTAGGTCGTGCTATATTAGCTCCAACGCTCGATGTGGTCAACGCCGTCAATGACTATATGACTGAGTTGCATAATACCGAAAGCAGGTCATACTATAGTTCAGACGCAGTATGCAAAGCCGATGGCGACAACGGCATACTTGGAGATGTACACCCACCGGAATTTCTAAACAGCATTAGGGTTTCAGGTCTACCAAATCATACACTGACTTTGAAAATCGGTTCACCGGTAATGTTAATGAGAAATATTGACCATTCTCTTGGTTTGTGCAATGGAACTCGGTTGATAATTACAAAGCTAGCAGACCATGTTATTGAAGGCGAGATTCTGACCGGACCTAACAAAGGTACAAAAGTGTTGATCCCCCGAATGTCAATGTCAGCCTCTGATCCAAGATTGCCGTTCAAGTTTCAACGAAGGCAATTCCCATTAATGCTTTCATATGCAATGACCATAAACAAAAGTCAAGGACAAACGTTGACTCATGTTGGTTTAATACTAAAGAAATCGGTTTTTGTACACAGTCAGTTGTACGTAGCTGCATCTCGGGTTAACAATCCAGACGGTCTCAAAATATTGATAGTCAAAGACCCAAGTTCAACTACTACATCAACCACTAATGTTGTATATCATGAAGTTTTCAATAATTTGTAATTTTGTAAAGTTCTCTTTTCTTAGTACCATCACCTTGCAACTATTTGTAATATACCATTTTCATATTGTTTTTGTTGAATTCCCACACATATTTCATTTATATGTTATAAATTATAACAGCATTATTTCACACAATTTATAATATAACATACACACAATTAATAATTTTTAATTTACATACCATACAGCGCACGGGTCAAATACTAGTTACTTATTAAAACATAACTTATTTATTTACGTTTAAAGTTAGATATTATTCACATTATCAAAATTAAAAATTAAACTCTATACCAAGTTTTAGATTTTGATTGAAGTCAATAGTTTATTGTTTTGATATTTTTTGTTATGTTATATCGTAATACAAGTTTGGTCTGGATATTAAATATTGAAATTTCACATATATTAAAATTCAAAGTAAAAATTATATATTTATATACATGTTATTCAAATAAATATATCCAAATGAGCGTTCACACTCGCATTCTCAACTACAACCGTGACTTTGTAAGTAATAACAGCCTTCGACGAAATCTTCAAACAGTTGTTGCACTCATATTGTCCATCATCACGTCGAACCACTCTAGTATTACAACCATCGCTTTCGCAACTCACATGATACCAATTAAAAGAATTCTCAACACCGACGATCTTTGCACCGACCCAAAACTCACTAGTCTAACAATTACAAAATGAAGTTCAATTCAATTTAGACTCGTACTGTTGTACTAGCACTAAAATAACTGTTTTTTACACTTTAATATTTATTTAAACATCCAGAATTATGGAAGAATTCGGCCATTATGTATAAAAAAAAAATTCAACTTTGTACTTAAGTATAGAAAACTTACTTTTCTTTGTCGATAGATATCTTCCAGTATAACTGTCTGCATCAGAGCATTTCTTAAATCTTGCAATGCCCTCGCCTCACTTGAACTGCAGCCCACCCATTCAGCCCCTACTTAAGCATTATTACAAGCATATAAATATAAACAATGGATTCCAAAACATGTAAAAAAAATGCAAAAATAACAACACTTTATCGCCAATAACATTTATTTCGACATTAGAGTTGTGCATAAAGGATAACTGACTACTCAATGGAAACGTAAAAGTGGGAAAACTTTCGACCTTCGAATCTCTGACAATTGTTTTTCGACAGAACTCTAACATGTACTTGCGATTTGTTGACTTGTGCTTAAACAAATTCTGGTTCACCAAAAAGTTGAAAATGCAATAAACTCGACCTTCTTGAAATTTCTTTGCATACTTTTGAACATGCTCGGTCGGAATGCGTACATGCACAAAAGTACCGTGATTTTTGATTAAATACAAATTTGCCTCAATACAAACAACATGCAATAAGAATTTAAATAATACAAGTTCAATTTTACAAGTAACAAACCTCCTCGTCATGAAAAATACCGTCAAAAGAATCCATTGTGTTAACACTTGGTGAATCACGAGGCTGGTATACTTGCACAAATCTCAGGTCCATCATATTTGTGTGGTTCGTGGGAGAAATTTTGCGCGCAAAAATCTTGATTGACCCCATGACGATATGAAAGCTATACAATCTACTCTGAATCGTCTTCCGTTCGAATGTTTTCAACCTAAAATAGAAGAAGTTGAAAGCCACACATTAAGTGACCGTAATGAACCCTATATATAGGACTATACCGTCGCCTATATTTTTTTGACAATCGCCATACCGGTTAACAGTTGATAGAGACAGAAATCAAAACGTCAGGATTTTTTTCGATCTTTATGACGTATTTTTTTGCTATATTCAAATAATTTGTTGTTATTTTTTGGACAGTTCAAACGGAGAAATTATTGGTTTAATATACAATTAAAAAACGAAACAAAAGTCTAATAAGTGCTGCTAATAAGTTAAGTACTAAAACTATTAACAATTCTTGCAACTTTCCTATTCTTCTTCCGATTCCGTATACAATATGTCGCACTTGCCGTTAATATCTTCGACCCGTTCCACAGTGCCGCATTGTGAACTACATCAATTCATTATTCTCGAATATAATAATTTAACAGAATACTAACTACAAATACAATTGCAAAACTTAAAAATAATCTACAACTGCAAGAGTTGAACCACTGAACATGCCTTTTCTCTAACATGGAATTTAGCCTATGAATTTTTTCTTCATTTCGGTTTATCCTCTTCAATAGTCCTAGTATTATCATCTTTGCCCTTGCACACATCGGAGGATTTACCCATTCAAAATAACCACAACCATTCCTTCCCTAAAACAAAGCAAACACAAACAAATATTTTTTTAACAACAACCTTAAAACACATGAATTGAACTCTGCGTTCTTACTCACCGATACAACTAAACATTGTCAAAACCTCCTCCCTGGATTTCGATCGGTCCACGACGTCTTAATACACATGTGATTTCCACATTGTTGACACTCTCTAATCTATACGAATTGTCTATAATCACCCCGGCTTCTATTACTCGAACTGCATGAATCCTCACCTGGTGTTCTCTCCATTGCACACTCAATAACAAGAACAATGTTTGACAATCATTCTGCCAACCCAATTATATATTTACCACAACACCTATTAAATGACCTTATTGCCATTTAAAAAAGCTGAAAAAGACATTGACAAGCCAATCTTACCGCAAACGACTATAGCTACACAGAATAATACAAGACTATAGCTACACAGAATAATACAAATCAATCCCTACTTGACCTTAAAAGAAATATCTTTGCATCAAATCTTGCAAATAAAACCACAACAACCCCCAAATTCAACAAATGTTTCCTCTGTTTGTGACGCACAAGTGTTTACTTCTATCTCTGTTGGGTATCATTTATCGCGGTTGCATGACGCGCAACGCGCGTGCCCTGCTAGTTATTTATTAAAACATAACTTATTTACTTACGTTTAAAGTTAGATATTATTCACATTATCAAAATTAAAAATTAAACTCTATACCAAGTTTTAGATTTTGATTGAACTCAATAGTTTATTGGTTCGGATATTTTTTGTTTTGTTATATCGTAATACAAGTTTGGTATGGATATTAAATATTGAAATTTCATATATATTAAAATTCAAAGTAAAAATTATATATTTATATACATGTTATTCAAATGAATATATTCAAAAATATTGTAAATATTAGTTCAAAAAATAATAATATTATCTGAACTAAAATTTAAGTGAACTTTTTGGTTCAGATATATTTTTAGTTATGTTATATACAAATATAAATTTGACTCGAATATCAAATATAAAAATCTTACATATATTATTAGACTTAAAAGTAAAAAATATATTTACTCCATTTAAACAAGGAAAAAAGACTGAAATGTGACAAATAGGAAACCCAATTTCGAAAATAGGACACTTTTTTTTTTTGGACAAAAATGTGAAAAATACGTTTGGGACATGCGTTTTTGCCATGTCCCTGTTCTTTTTTTTATTATTTTTTTATCCGTTAACAAATACGCAAATACCATTTGCGGCTTTGGTATTTGATACGCCAAACGCATTTATGAAATGTGTTCGACGTATATTATTAGTATACGTTAAAACGCATGTACGAGATGCGTTTGGAGTATTATACGTCAAGCGCATCTCGTATATGCGTTTTAGTCGTCGGTCAGTTGCCGGAGTCTGAGAAGGGAAGACGCGTGTGGGAATTGCGGTCTAAGTAAATCGCATGATGTATATGCCTTTTAGACGTGTTACTGCTTTCAACATCAAGCTAGAACAAATACAAAATGGTCATGAGAATCTTCTTCTTTCTTTTCCTCTTGGCCTTTGCGGTTCTCACTGCAAATGCATCAGTGAATGACTTCTGCGTGGCCGGCGGCCCTGGAGCCCGCGACACCCCTTCAGGCTTCGTGTGCAAGAACACCGCCAAAGTCACAGCCGCCGACTTCGTCTACTCTGGCCTGGCAAAATCCGGCAACACCACCAACGCCGGCAATGCCGCCGTTACTCCGGCGTTCGTGGCTCAGTTCCCGGGAGTGAACGGGCTGGGAGTCTCCCTTGCCCGCCTCGACTTGGCACCCGGCGGAGTGATCCCCATGCACACCCACCCCGGCGCCTCGGAGATCTTGAACGTCGTGGAGGGCACGATCCTCGCCGCCTTCATTTCCTCCGGCAACAAGGTATACGAGAAGACGCTGTACCCCGGCGACGTGATGGTTTTCCCTCAGGGACTCCTGCATTTTCAGGTGAACGCCGGGAAAGGCAGCGCCCTGGCTTATGCGAGCTTCGGCAGCGCCAAACCGGGGCTGCAAATCCTTAATTTCGCGCTGTTTGCCAACGATATTTCCACCAAGACCATTGCCGGGACCACTTTCCTCGACGAAGCTACCATTAAAAATAATTGCAGAAAGAAAAAAAAATGGTGATGAGAATCTTCTTCTTCCTTTTCCTCTTGGCCTTTGCGGTTCTCACTGCAAATGCATTAGTGAATGACTTCTGCGTGGCCGGCGGCCCTGGAGCCCGCGACACCCCTTCAGGCTTCACTTAAATCGCAAATCCCAACCGCGGCTTCTCGTGAATATTCTTCGGCAACTGACCGGCGACTAAAACACATGTAAGAGATGCGCTTGACGTATAATACTCCAAACACATCTCGTACATGCGTTTTAACCGTATAGTAATAATATATGTCGAACGCATTTCATAAATGCGTTTGGCGTATCAAATGCCAAAGCCGCAAATGGTATTTGCGTATTTGTTAACGGATAAAAAAAATAAAAAAAGAACTGGGACATGCCAAAAACGCATGTCCCAAATGTATTTTTCACATTTTTGTCCAAAAAAAAATGTCCTATTTTTGGAATTGGGCCTCCTATTTGTCACATTTCAATCTTTTTCCCATGTTTTGTAAAACATATCTAAAATTATTTTAAATATAATGTCTAAAAATCAATCAAAATTAAACTTTAGTTAATTTTATAATGTTAATTTAAGAAATTAAATTCGAAAAAAAAGTATTAAATAAATTTTCTAAACAAAATAAATAAAAAAAAATAGAAGGAAACTGAAAAATTAGTAAACGGGTCCAAAGCATCTCTGCGATTTCGAAAATAAATGGACGGTTAGGAGACAAAAAGACATTGTTGAATGTTGAAAAGCAGGTGGCAGAAGCCTTCGTTGGACACGACTGATTCCCGGGCTAAGCTGAAGTGAACATAGTCGTTTTCTTCACATTTTCTTCTTCCACCGTTATTTATTTCTTGGCATATGGTTTTCGAATCTGAATTGAATTTGGATCTGGGTCTTCCTCAAAGCCGCCATCCCTTTTGAAGCCAAGATTGTGGGGGCAAAAATCTAATAAACTATGGCTTCTTTCGCGGGCTCGGCTCCCCTCAGCATCTATGTCAGCAATAATGGCGCGTCTTCTTCTTCTTCTTCTGCGGGAAAACCATCCAGTTTGTTTCGTTCTTTTATTTTCACTAGAAAGGAAACCAATAGAAGGATAGTTTGTGCTTGTGTGGCGCCTCCTCGAGACGTGAAGCCCGCTGATGCCGATGAATTTTCTTCCCCTAAATTCAATGTAAGATTCAATTATGATTTTGGGTTTTGATCAACCCTTCTTTATTTCTGGGTGTCCTCTATTTTCATCGAATTACAAGGTTTTTCTTTAGATAAACTGAATTGTCTTGGTGTTCTAATTAACCTAATGTAATTTGGATTGTTAAAAATCCAATCTTTGGTGCATTGCTCTCGTCCCGCTTTTCCACTTCAGTTAATCATTTTAATCATGTTCATTCTCATGAATAACCAAATTCATTTTTGCAAATTGGATTTTATGCTTCTCATGAATACTTTAGGATCTCATGTGATTCTGAATTGTCAGCAATAAGTGAAAGTAAACACTGTATTTGATGGTGTGGTTTCTATTGTGCTCATATTTTTCGGTTGCAGTATTAATGAATAATGATCAACTTTCTTCTTTACTAGGGTTCAGCTAAACCTGAGAACCTGAGCTCGACGGGGGAGCCTGATGACGGATCTGACGTGCTTATTGAGTGCAGAAATGTATACAAGTCATTTGGCGAGAAGCATATCTTAAGAGGTGTGAGCTTCAAGGTGAATTTTCTTTACGACATTGTTAAATTTATTTAAGCAAACTGTGTAGCCCATATAGCTGCTTGACATGGTGCATTGAACAAAAGCAACATACATTCACCCCGAGAGTTTCAATTTCCCAATTCCCATAGCATAGCTATCCGTTTTTTCCTTTGAAGCTCCACCGTACTTAAGTTTTATCGAGTCTGTAGGGACAGGGTTTCAACGCACCTGAAAAATCTTATAAGGAGCTCAATATCCTTCCATACTTTCACTGTTTCTGGCTTAGAGAAGCCTGCATAGTTGAAGGTTGGAAACTCCAGGGCGACAATTTTAACTATCTAGAAGTTGATATGGAGAATACATCTAGGGCAAGCATGACCTTGATATAGAAAAACATTTTGCATTTCTTCTTTTCCATTTCTCCCAGCAGATACAAGACGGACATGTGAGAAACTATCTATATTACATGTTTTCCTGTCTTTGTAGTCCACCAATCTCCCATTTTTATGCAATGCCATCCAGAGACAGTAATCCCAGTAGCAGATGCATAAAACTGCAAACTTCAGTAGTGTTGAATATATGATCTATAGAGTCTTTGGCAGGATTTTTACAGCAGTAACTCCTTGAAGGGAATATAAATCCCATCTTTGTCAAGATTTCCTCTGTATGAAATTGTGTTTTGCAGTTTCCATATTAAGCAAGAAATCTTAAATATTTCATTTTCTTTTTCAATATACACTTTTATTCAATTTTCTCTGGAAAGTCAAATTTAATTTTGAATCTTAGGCTGTTGAGCATATAATATATAAACATAAATGTGTAGTCCAACTATCAACGTTGCCTTTTAGTTGAGACATAACACATTCTTCAAGGTCATGGGTTTAAATCTCCGCGTCACCTGATAAAAAGAGACTACGGTCCACGTGTTGCTTGGAGCCCATAAAATAGTAATTGGCCTGCACACATGAGGGGGCGTGTTGAGCATATAATATATAAGCATAAATGTTTTTCTTGGAGCCCATAAAAAAGTAATGGCCCGTACATGTGAAGGGGCGTGTTAAGCATATAATAATATAAATATAAATGTGCAGTCCAACTATTAGCTTAGGTTTCTAGTTGAGACGGAACACATCCTTCAATTCAAACATCACTTCTCTTTCTCCATCTAGTCTTAGGAATGAACTAAAATTGGATATGTTTGTCCACCTGTTTTGTTATTTGGTTATCTATGCACAATTGCACCTATGTTTTTTATATCATTTTGTTTGATAAACTAGTGAAAATCATCCCTTTTAAAAAAATTACCAACTTCAAGTATTCTACTATATTGAAGGGTGAAGGTTTGCAAGGGGTTTCCTTGATGTATTAGAGGCTAGAAGACAGAACAGTAAAACTAGTAAGCAAATTCAAAGCTAGGAACTTATATAAGCTTTCATTCAATAAGAACATTGCTATGCTGGAACTTGAAAGTTTTTAATATGTACTCCATAATGCTGCTTGTCTATCTGGCTTTCAGTTCCTTTTGAGCTTATGAAAGTAGTGTAGATATCTTTATATGGTATTTAGTAAGGAATAAGGATTGGATAAGCAATTTTTTTTATATTAAATTTCTTTCTTTTGGCATTAATTGTTGAATGGCTAATGAAATATGACCTGAAGCTTTCCTTAATTGTGGCATTTGTCTTATGAAATTTTGGTCGTAATTTTAGTTCACCACATTTATCTTCTGTAGATAAAGCATGGAGAGGCTGTTGGAATAATTGGGCCCTCTGGGACTGGAAAGTCTACAATCTTAAAGATAATGGCTGGGCTACTTGCTCCAGACAGGGTACTATCCCTGTGCTTTTCAAAATTGAGAATTTCTTAATCTGACAGTCATATGCTATTATGTTTTAGAGGCTGTGATGTTTCTCAATTTATCTACTCTTCTCTGTTATGTAAAACTTAATGAACAGGGTGAGGTTTTAATCCGGGGGAGAAGACGCCATGGACTAATCAGTGATGAGGAAATATCTGGTCTTAGGATTGGCTTAGTGAGTAGTCTTTTCTTTTCTTTCCTTTTTGTAAGTTTCTCTGGTTTAATTTCATGTAGTTGCGTACACTATAATCATCTTTGTTTTGAGTAACAGGTGTTTCAGAGTGCAGCACTTTTTGATTCGTTGACTGTTCGAGAAAATGTTGGTTTCCTTTTGTAAGTTCCTTCTGCGATGTTTCTGAAATATTGTTCATTCATCTCCAACACTTAATATGGAATTGAAAAGGTTGGTCTACTTAAAATCATGCATATATCTCTAATTTTTGGCCTTCTCTTTCTGAATATAAAGATACGAGAATTCCACCATGCCTGGGGATCAAATTGCTCAGTTAGTAACAGAGACCTTAGCTGCTGTTGGGTTGAAGGTATAGTAAAATGAATTTTGATTTTATTTAATTTTTCCTTTTCAAATCTTATATTTTAAATGTACAAATTCTGTTAGCATTACCAATTCAAGAGCAAAAATCAAATCTTTGCACTGTATAAAATAAGCTCCACAAACTGTCATTGTTTAGTCATGAAATTGATGTTTTTTTCAAAATGGCCGAATCTCTGATCCGTTCTTTATTAAGTAACCACATAAACCTGTGCAGAAATGCATCTCATATCAATCTAACTGAGGTCCTGCTCCATGCTAGTTTCTTACTTGGTTTCTTGTATTATTTGTTTTAATTAACAAAATGTTGATGCAGGGTGTAGAGAACCGGCTACCTTCTGAATTGTCTGGTGGAATGAAGAAAAGAGTTGCTTTAGCTCGTTCTATAATTTTTGATACAACAAAAGATGTGGTTGAGCCAGAGGTATTTGGATGTCTTCTATTGTCTCAATCCTTCTTCACTGTATCATTTGGTTTCTGTTAAATTAAATAAAGTATTGTTTGAAACTATTACATGTACTAACTACTAACTTCATACGGTATTTTCTGGATTTAATGAATATTTAAATCAAATAAATTTTTAATATATGTTGCTTTTGAACACCAATTTTCCTTGTGTCTGTCTATTCCTTTGATAATTTTAGGATTCCTATTAGTCTATTAAGTGTGAATTTTGCATATATTACCTTAGTATCTCATCTGGCTTAACACCGTGGGAAGTCGGGAGGAGAAATAAGCTTAAATTAAAAGGTTGGGAACTTTGGCCTAATGTATTTCATCTCCTTCAAGAACATCAATTTTTGTCTAATATTTCAATGAAGGGTTAAATATTTTAACTTTATAATGCTTTATACTTTGACAGATAACAATCAATGCTTAGTTGTGTACTTAACATCTTACACATACTTATGGATTCGTTCATTAAGATATAACTTTGCCCACGGGGCATAACTTAGTGGTCGAAAGCCTGAGTCTGGGTGTAGTGTCCATCAATTACCCTGGGGAAAAAAGCAAAGCACTCAGTTTACCTCTTCTCACAATCCCCAGGGCAGCAGTTATGTTAACAAAGAACAATAGGGGCATCATTTGGGGTGATGAGGGAAACCTGCAGTCACTACCCGAGGGGTAGATTGCCCATAGCCGACCGCCTGACTTGTGACCTTGTGGTTACAAGTTTGTACCCTTAGCCAACTTGGCTGGGGTTACAATAGGTAGGTATCATTTCCTTAGCTGAAATGAAGTGTTTCTTAGAATTCTATAAAACATATGATGACTCCTCTTTTATCTCTAGTATTTTGTTCAAGTCTAATAAATAACAAAAAGACGGCTAATTTCCTCACTGGCATCCTGTATCGAGCAGGTACTTCTGTACGATGAACCAACAGCTGGGCTTGATCCAATTGCATCGACTGTTGTGGAAGATCTTATCCGCTCTGTTCATATGAAAGGCGAGGATGCCCTTGGGACGCCCGGGAAGATTGCATCCTATGTTGTGGTCACTCATCAACATAGTACCATTAGAAGAGCTGTAGACAGGTTTCGATTTCTTTCTTCCTTTCTCTCTCTATCTATGAGATAAAGTTCAATAAGGTTCTTCTTCCGCACCCTCTGTTAGCTTGAGGTGTATTGATAAGGGAAGTCTCTGTCTACTGTCTAGGCTATTGTTTCTTCATGAAGGGAGGGTTGTTTGGCAAGGAATGACTAGTGAATTCTCGTCATCAACTAATCCTATTGTTCAGCAGGTAAGTAAAATACTAATCCACTTTTTTCAAATGCATAACATTCACTACTAGTACTCCTCCATATTCAACTAGTCAATTCATTTGTTTCCCAGTTTGCGTCGGGGAGCTTGGATGGCCCAATCAATTACTATTAGCACTCTGCTTTTGCGCATTTCACCCAACATAACACTCTTTTATACAAGTAGACGAGAGGTTGGCGTCGTCGTGGTCAAGTTTCGCCCCTCAATTCTGTTTGCCGAGGCTTGCTTCCAAGGCGTCCGATTAATACTATAAGTTTTTTTTGGTAGTAGCCACAAGTTCATTAGGGGCTAGATATTTGTTCATTTCATAACACTTCTTAAAAGAGCTAAGAATGAGAATGTATGAACAAGTTCTTTTAGAACCACAATTATTTTACCTAGCCAGGTGGTTATATTGGATTTTTTTTTTTTTAAAAAAAAAAAAAAACGTTATAGGGGTTGTTTAAAATTTTATTTCTCAAATAAAGGTACTTTTAATCTTATTTTTCAAATAAAGGTTATTTTTGTTTACTTATTGCTTTGTCACTGTCATTCACTTTTTACAAGTTATCATTAGCACCTTGTACACTCTATCAGAGCAACCGCAATTGTAATTTTTGTTGGGGATTTTTCACAGGAAAAATTGGTTGCATGATATCAGAGCAACCGCAATTGTAATTTTTGTTGGGGATTTTTCACAGGAAAAATTGGTTGCATGATTTTCAAATAGATGGGAAAATTGATTTTTGAATGTTTTTTTTTTCTTGCAAATTCATGATTTTTGCAGGAAAAGAAAAAAAAAAAGAAAAAGAAAAAAAAAAAGAGGGGGAAGTGCATTTGGAGCACACTGCGCGCGCGCCACTACGCTAACCAGCGGGCGCGTTTTTTTTCACGCGCCAATTGGGGCGCTTTAGGCTGGGCACCAGCTGAATGGTTTATTTTATATTATTTTATTTTTTATTTTTTATTTCAAATCTACTATCTAATCTAAAAACATAATAAGTCTCAATCAAAGTTATATCTCTCATTTATGTCCATGTTTTTAATGCTAATTATTTTGTACATTATGTTTTTAGAGTTGTACTCTATAATTTTTTGGACAAAAATATCTCTACCGTTATAACTTCCGTTATCTTTTCCATTATTGTTACCATGCACATGCATCCACCATATATTTTCGTATATTCTTTAATGATAACACTATATGTAGACATTATATATTAGATTATTATTACAAATAAATAAATTTGATTTCATATAGATTTTAATTAGTAGGGATTTATTAGTTATTTAAATATATATATATATATATATATATATATATATATATATATATATATATATATATATATATAAATAAATAAATATTGGGCATTTGTTTTTGCACATCGCGCATAGGAAAAACTATATATATATATATATATATATATATATATATATATATACTAATAAGAGCCAATATATTAGACCTATAATGGGTAGAAAATAAAATGTCCCTCAAATTATTATATTAAATGAATGTTAAGAACTTAAGATTATTCAGATTTTAATTTTTCATTGATTTTCAAATTTATCATTAATTATTAATTTATTAATTTCAATAAGAAACGTGTTAGGTTCGAATCTCATCCCAGTCAAAGTTGGCCTAATTAAGTTCCTCAATCTATTTTACTCTTATTAGATTAAATAAATTAATAGTTACGACAAAAAATGATTCATATGCATATTTTTAATTTAGAATTATGTGTTTACAATGTCTTTATTTTTTAAAAAAGTATTCATTATCAACAAATTAAATATGAAAAATAATTTCATTAGTTATATTGTCTTTATTTTCTCCAACGCAAAAATTCTTTACATTCAAATTCATCAATTGATATTCATTACATTGTCCAGTATCTTCTTTTTACACTATCTTGTAATTAAATATCAAAGTTATAATACAAAATAATGTTATATATTTATTTACCAAGTATTTTATTAATACCATGAAAAAAAAAAAAGATTGAAGCCAATCATATTAACTATTTGGGGGATTTGTTGATAAAGAGAGAATTCAAATAACCCAACAAATTGAAACGGGAAACTACCTCGTAATATCTTTGGACTATATCATATTTAAAATGTTCAAATTTTTATTACTTTATCTAATCTTATTCATTAAACTGGGGATTTCTTTATCCACAATAACTCATTCAACAATAATGGTTGAATCAAATGAACCCCGGGTAGAACACTTAAAAGACTGGTATGCTTTTATGTTATAATAATATGTTAATGTTAATTATATCATTATCTTACGTAGCTACATTTAAAACTCATTATTAGAACTGTCAATGTAGGGCAATAGAACATCCTAACACACTTGATGCGTTGAAAAGATGCAAAACTACACAAATGCTGCAATCATTTGACAAATCTAGAAAATAAAGAAATTTCAAAATAGCCACCGTTAATTTATTCATTTATCCTGTATGTAAAATACTTATTGTGCATTCATTAAATATATTAGAACTAATATAAATTTACAATTCATTTCATCTTATAGACTCAACCTGCTTAGATTACACTCATTACAGGTAAAATTAACATCAACCTTCACAATAAAAATACTTGGTATATAGGATGTAGTCAATATTTAAAAAAAGTTTATGCACAAAGTGGAAAACAATTTAACTCGAAGGTTAATATCAATTCAATAATTTTTTTTTTAAACACACACACATCCTGCGAAACTTTTTTTTCCGACGAATCCATCGCAACAGCACACCTTCCAAAGCATACTTAAACTCATGCATTCGAGCCGTCGTCGGTGATTTATTAGGGTTTAGATGGTCAAAATTCCGGTTGAAAACATCTGGCCGTTTGTGTAAGGGGAGCTTGAGATATCGGCGGACCTAGAAATCTCTGAACTGCACTTCTCTTTGTGCTCGTCCAGCGCACCTCTTGCCAAAATTTCGGTTGAAAGCTTTTCCAGCCAAAAAAATGTTTGCTCAAAGAAGAAAGCGAAATGCTAAAACTGATGTTGGTGCCTATTTATTCTAAAACTTCTCTATATCAACATTATGCTAAAATTGATGTTGAATAACTACTTCTCTTTTTGGATAATGTTGAAAGCATCGCAGTGCACCTCATCTTCGGATTCGCCGAAAAAGATGAATTCACCGGAGAAGAAGGAAAAAGATGTGAAATGACTAAAATAACATAATTATTTTAACTGTTAAAATTTTTCGGCAAAATTTGGCCGGCAATTTGACCGGAGTGACCAAAATTGATAAAAATTGCATAGTCAAGGTACTAAATTGACACTTTTAAAAGTCATGTGCTAAAATTAACAAAACCCCTATAGTCATATGACCAAAATTGAAATTTTCTATAATATTTTATTCAATACTTCCACATGAAACATGTAGGGGAACAAACTACCACTGCAAAATATCAACATGCGCTTGAAAGATCAAGAGTTCATAGTAAAACTAAGATCCAGTCATATACACAATAAGGAAAATCCAAAGCTTTCTATATCATTCTTCCAAAAGGCTGAACCCCAACCCTCAAAGCTTTCTATATCATAATCTCATTGCATGACGTTGTCATCTGTTAGTGATATTATATTCTTAGTATAATAATGTGTAGTATTATCCTTGTACATATAGGATTGATTTAGTCTTATAGTCTGCACCTATTGTGTAGGGTTAGTTAGATAGTTATTCTATCTCTTTTGTATCTCTGTAACTGCCTGAGTTTGAATCAACGTGAAACATTCACTCATCTGGTATCAGCTAGCCAGGTTGGATTTTTCTCTCTCCTCTCCCAAAAACAATGTCGACGAATTCCAGCGAACGAACTGTCACCGCCGCCACCCTTTCCACTCCGGTCACCCCAAACACCCTATCCACGGCACATCATTTTGTGTCGATGAAACTTACCACGAAAAACTACCTCTTCTGGTGCACTCAATTGGTGCCTTTCTTGCGTGGACAGGGGCTGCTCGGATTTGTCACCAGTGACACGCCGTGTCCTCCGGCGACAGTGACGCCTCCGGCGACCAGTGACGCCGGCTCTGGTGGCACGACACCCACGACCATCGCCAATCCAGCGCACGCCTTGTGGGAGCAGCAAGACCAATCCATCCTTTCGTTATTAATATCCTCCATGTCCGATGAGGTGCTCTACCTTGTCGTCGGACGTGGAACATCGCATGAAGTCTGGACGTCGATCACCGCGGCATTAGGCTCATCTACACGGGCAAGGTGCCTGAATCTTTTGGCGCAGTTCCAATCCTTGCGTCAAGGTGATAGCACGCCTGGTGAGTACCTCAGCAGAGCCCAATTGCTCGTAGAGGACTTGGCTCTCGCTGGCAGACCTGTATCCTTGGATGAACAAAATCTTTATGTTCTCCGAGGGCTCAGGCCGGAGTTCAGGTCCATGGCGTCGTCGCTTGCTGCATCGGGCGCTCCAGTCTCCATCCCGCAGTTGTTGGACTTCCTTCAAGCCCAAGAATTCATCTGGGCGGATGACTTCTCGATGCCATCCGACGTTCCGGCAGGTGGATCGCACACTGCCATGGCAGCCGGCCGTAGTTCCAATCACCACAGTGGTGGTCCTCGACGTGGCGGTTCCGGTCGAGGTCGCGGCGGGAATGGCAGAGGACGCGGTGGTGTTCCCCGCTGTCAGATATGTCGATCCCAAGGGCATACAGCCGTTTATTGCTACCAGCGATACACTGGGCAGCCACCAGCACAGGTTCACGCTGCTGTCTCCGCTGATGATGGATCGGCTCAGCAAGACGCGTGGTTCCCGGACACCGGGGCCTCGTCGCACGCTACCCCTGACTCGTCGATGATGACACAGTCCGAACCGTATTCTGGCAATGACGTGTTGCGTGTGGGCAATGGTTCTGGATTGGGCATTTTAAATATAGGCCATGCATCGTTAAAATCTGAGTCTAAATGTTTAAAGTTACACAATATTCTACACGTGCCTGATTTGTCATTACCATTATTATCTGTCAATAGGTTTACCATTGACAATAACGTATTTTTTGAGTTTCACCGTGATCATTTTCTTGTGAAGGACTGTCAAACCAAGGCGGTGCTCCTTAGGGGTCCTACCACGGGGGCTTATATCGGTTGTCACTGTCTCGGTCACCTGTTGCTTTAATAACGGCTCGTGCTACATCAGATGTCTAGCATCGTAGGCTCGGGCATCTACATGAGCGGGCTCAAATTCGTGTCTTACAAAAGTGTCCGGTCACTCCAACAAAATCAAGTGGCCTGCGGGTGTGTTCGTCATGTCAACTTGGGAAATCCTCTCGATTCCCATTAGATAGAGTTGTTTCCCGTAGTAATAATGTACTAGACGTGATATACACTGATATATGGGGACCGGCACCCGTTGTTTCTGCCGGGGGTTTTAGATAC